CCTCTTACAAAGTTTGTGGAGCACGGTAACAGTCAGTGTTTTAGACGGAACTCGTAACAGACTAATATCCTGATGGCTGCCAGTTGCATTACGTCATTCCTTTCTTAAAGATACCCACAGTGACCTGATTGCATGCTAAATTTCCTACACTTTCCCAGTGTCCAACCATTTCAGCGAGTGTAAGTTATTTTGACCTGATGCTTCATCGTCCTTGAGTATTTGAAGTTCTTATCAGACTTTACTTTGTTAAGCTGACCGGTGGTAAACGATCAGGTGAAGTTATTCTTTGAGTTTCCTGGAAAGTGTCGAAGACAGTTTTTAGGTTTTTAATCAGCGTACGGCATGTCTAACAGTACAGATGGTGTCATTTAAACCAGCGAACTGTCTCAGAGATAAACTTTGTCGGCTTAAGGACCCAATAATTCCAATTAGGTAAGATAATACAATTTACCAAAAGAAAATGACTGTAAAGGCAATTACATAGGTCAAACTAGTAGATCGGGACCAACTAGATTATTGGAACATAATAATTTAGCTAGACCTAGAATAATTGACCCTGTTAAGTTAAATAACTTAGAAAAAAGCTGAGCCATTGCACTGCATTCACTTGCATGTAATCACAAAATAGGGTGGATGGAACAGGGTGAGAGTATTAAAAAGTGAAGACAGCTTTGTTTATCGGCTCAACACTGCACACGTGCAATCGGAATGACTCAACGCCTATACCGGAGATATGGAACGTGGCAACAAACAACAAAGGAAAGTTGGAGAGAGAGAGGGAGAGAAAAAAAGCCAATACTTGAAAATTGATCTGACGCTCACTAGTGACTGGCCCTATTCAGGCAGCTACCTGGGAATCTAGTGGGAAGGCATGACCAATTGGGTACAGCAGGTTGAAGGTTGTGGTGAGAGCTGTCTACTAGCCAAATTGGTAGACAGTAATTTATGTCAATATTTACGTTCCCAAGATTTGTCGTGAGAAAATGTGAACAAAGATTGATTCAAAACCGACCACAGCAGACTTTGCGTAGGCGGATGCAGTTAACATATAGAGGATTTAACATTCAAGAAACAGTCACAAATAGATGAAAGATTAACTTTACGTGAGAAACAACCAATCGGAAGACTGTGTTTGTTTGCTTAAATATCCATAGTAATGTACATGAAAATATATATAAATATGCGTTGATTTCCTTAATAAATGATCTGTTGCCTGACTCTTGCCTTCTGTTGTTACAAGGTGAGGAGAGTTACTCATCGAATAATGCCTTATGCTTAAATGAGATAAAATTTGTTTACTTAATAAATCATAGATTTTCAAGAAATCTCTTAACTTTTTCACTAATTATAAATGTGTGTATATATTTAAGAATTTCAATCTCTCCAAATTGTTATTCTCTCTAATGTCGCCTGTTGTATGACTTTTCTTTTAGACTGATCATCTGTACTTGTGTCCATTATGCTCATATACGTGTGACACAGGGCTTGCCCTTTGGAAACATTATGATACAGATCATGAAAGCCAACCTTCTTTGAGTAAATCTTATCGGATTATTAATCCGATTCCAGCTATTACAGCGAAATCTTCGATCACGCCTACATCAGTTGCTGTGAGTTCAACTGCAACTCCTACCGCTCGGGAAAAACAGCGTCGTGCTGACAATAGGCTTTATCAGGTCGGCCTTTTTTAAGAATTACTTTTATCACTTTTTTAACACATTTTTTTAACAATAAATGAGATGCTAATAACTATTAATGGTTAGTTGAGGTGGCTGTCATCGACACGCAAAGGTTTACTGTGTTCTCTATGTTGATAAGTGACCCCTTGGATCCAGCACTTGACTTATAGTCAGTGGGTCATAAATTCAAAGACATCCACCGGGCAAATTTTGAAAAGCCAGGTAGTTTTTTCAGACTTTGTTTAATAGGTTTGTTAGTACTCCTTTTAGTGATCATCTTTATAGTAATGGGTTTCTGCCTTATGGCTTTTTTGTGAACTGTCCCCATTTCTGTTTAATTTTATCATAGGTGTACAGATGGACTTAACGCTAACTGACTTCAGCGACTCAGTCAGGGATTGACTTGTTACCAGGTTGGGAATAATCTCGTTGACTTAAAATATGCAGATGATATAGTCCTTCATCCTAGGTGAAGACGCTGACAAAATGCAGACAGGGTCTCCCGAACACCTTGACAGGCATCAATCTTATGTAATGTTTGGCATGTGATTCGTTCCCTCTTTCAAATGTAAGATGATATTACAGAAGTGGACTGTACTACATTGACTCGTGGTCGCTGAGCATGTTGACCACTTCACTTATTTGGGGAGTTGCATCATCAGCCAACGCCAGCGGTTTGATCACTGACGAAATCTCAGCACGGATACAGAAGGCCCGTTTGGCATGTGCCAACTTACGCCATCGCTGACTTGGTAGATATGATATCCGACTGTCTATCGAAGGGTATGGATACTGCTCAGAAGTTCAGCCTCTCTTCAAGACAATTTAGCTCTAGAGAAATAAAACTACTTGAAAAAGGATTAAATTTCAATGTAACCGTTAGAAAACGAAAACCAGAAGATGTTATCCCTAACATAGAAGCAGCATTCAGTTCAATAGATTAGACGACAGCAGAAGAGGTTCGAGCACACAATGTGCTCTAACCCTGAAAAATCAAAAGAAAGCAAAATCAAACTTGACAAATTCGGAACGACTAGCTCTAATTAGTCTAAAAGAGGATAAAAACATCATCACAAAAGCTGATAAAGGAAACTCTACAGTAGTTTTGGATAAATCTGACTATATCGAGAATTTCACTGAACATATTGGGACGGGTCCATATGAGGAAATTAAGAAGCCTGTAGATACAATAATAATTAAGGTTAAGAGATCTGCAGCGGATTTAATACGCAGAATGAAGCCGTCGCTGGGTGAGTCTAAATGGTTTAATTTATTTCCTAAATCAATAAAGCTAGTAGAATATATGGTACTATTAAAATACATAAGCCAGGTTACTCCATACGACCAGCAGTAGATTTCAGGAATATCTTTACTTATGAATTATAGAAACACGTTACAAAATCGTTCAAACTCTGTACCAACTAATTCATATAATATGAAAAAGAAACTAAATGACATTCAACTAGAGAATGATGAAAGAATGGTTAGTTTTGATGTAACTATTCTTAATACTAATATACCAATCAATATGACCTTAAAAGCAGTTAAAAAAGAACTAATTGAACTTACTCATAGGACGAAGCTGCCCATTGAGGAAGTTATTTTAGGAATTGAGTTATGCCTCACATCTACTATCTTTAAATTCCATGGTTAAATATACAGACAAACAGAAAGTGTAGCAGTGCGATCACCAATATACCCTATCGTATCCGATATCCTTATGGACAGCTGGGAAGATATTGCTCCTTATACATTTAATCCTACTCCAAAAATATGGTGGAGATATGTGGATGACACTTTCACTCATTGTTTAAAACAGAACATATCTCTAGCTTCTTGACACGCAATAGTAAATGGAATAAAATTCACTTTTGAATCGGAAAATGAACAATGAGAATTAGCTATGTTAGGTTGTAAAATAAAACGAATAGAAGGTAGACTGCACACTAGCGTTTATAAAAAACCAACGCATCCCGCCAAATAGATATTTAGACTTTCATTCATCTCATCCGTTGTCTGTAAAGGCAGGCCTAGTTAAGTGTGTAACAATCCGAGCAGTAGCAGTAAGCAGTATCAAAAAAGAGCTAAATGATGAAATAGAACAGACAGAAGAAGCGTTGGTGTCACATAACTATCCTATAAAATTCATTAGGAAGATCAGAAAAAGGTCAAAATAAAAATAATGGTGAAACGAATAGTGATAAGATAAATAAGATAGAATATAAGGCACCTACAATTCTACCATACATATAAGGAGGGGACATCTGAGACCCTATGTAGAATTCTTAATAAAGTAGGAATTAGAGTGGCATTTAGACCTACAAACTCACTCAGAGACAATCTGTGTAGGCTAAAGGACGCGTTGGACCCAATTGGACAAAATATAATTTACAAGATACGTCTCAATGACTGAGTTAAATCAACTGCATAGGTCACACTAGTAGATCGGGTGTAGTCAGATTGTCAGAACATCGTTAAGGTTTAGAATGGCTGACCCCGCGAAGATAAGTAACTTAGAAAAAAGCTCAGCAATTGCACTGCATGGATCAACATGGATAGGAGAAAGTTTAAAATCTAAGAAGTAATATAGGTAGGTGGAGATAGAGGTTGATTACTGAATCCGTGTTCATCGAGTCTACACCCAACACGTGCAATAGGAATGACTCATCACTCATACCGGAAATGTGGAAAATATTACTGTAACTACAGAAGACGAAGGTCAAGCAACAGATCGTTTATTGAGAAAGTCAAGAGATATAGATTTTTCTGTACATTATTGTCAGCGGAGAAGCAACGTCTTCCGATTGTTTGTTTTCTTGCTGAAGGTTATTCTGTACTGCTTGTGACCGTTTCTTAGAAAGTTGAGCCATATATCCAAGAGTCGTATTTGCCCACATTAAGTCTACCGTGATTGGTTGGTGAGTTCCTCAAGGTTAAGCTTTGTTATTATTTTTTCTCATGTGCCCGAATCGGATAGTAACATTGAGGTAAATTGCTGTCTACAATTTTGGCTTGCACACAGGTCTCACCGCAATACTACCAATCAAGTGGAGTGGTGAAAAATAATGAAATTATATAAACGAAGTTCGAAAGTTGTGTGAGTATCCTGATATGATTATGAGCGGCAATAAGTTGTGCCTCAAACGTCATCAGTAAATATTACTGTATAACACTGTGGGACTTTATCAAAATAGATTTTACCCACAATGGAATTATACTTTACCACAGTGCACAAGTTCTATTCTTATATCAATGAATCTATCTAATCCATGGGCTTTATACAACTGTTGTATTTTGTTGTTTTGTTTTTTTCCTTTACAGTTTCTTGGTTGTGATTTGTGTCCGACATTCTGTATGACACGCGAAGACTTAATTAGACATGCGAAGGTAGCTCATGGAATTGAAGTCGTTAATACTCCCAATATCTGTAATGAAGTCACAACGTCTGTTCCACCCAATGCCTCTTTGAATAATATACCAACAACACTTGTAACCACTCCAACTGCAAATGACAATCTACCCATCAGATTGACGCGGACTACTACTACTACTACTACTCCTACTTCTACTCCATCAGTGAACTCGAAAATATCAGGTAGACTACAATCTGGATCAGCTTCTATACGGATTAATGATTCCACTCTTAATAGACAGTCAACATATGAAAGTATTAAGTGTAGACGACGACCAGGTATTACTAATGAATATAATGTGAAGGGTGGTGATAACGCAAGAGGAAGACAAAGTGGATTAGAGGCCACAACCATGTCCATCTCTGATATTGATGATGATGATGATGATGATGAGTTTGTCTGTCCAATGTGTGAATTTCACAGCAAGATCCGTAGCACAATAATGCAGCATATCATGGATGTTCATTAGGATTGTAATTCTACTACTACTACTAATGATAATCATAATAATAATTTGCTTTATTCCAGAAACAGTACTAGTGGTACAGTGTGGAATTTTCAGCACATATCTACAATATTTGCATCTAATTTTACAGACATTTCAAATAAGTAATTAAACAACCAAAGAAAATAAATCTGAAGACACCAACAGCTGTGACGTTTACATTCACTGATACAATCGTCAATCTGCTAGAGGTGCGTTTACTGATATTAATTCCAAGTACTTCTTTATACTGCACACCAAAGTTCATATTTTTCTTCAACTTTTTTTTCCTATAGAGTTATGTGTTATTGTTAAATACCATTGTAATCATTATTATTATTATTATTTTTACTACTCATGAGTGTTTTCAAGTCTGCTGTGTTATACCGCCACCGTTGTATTACTTTTCTCCAAGTTTGCTTAGTTATTCTGTTGAAACAATCATCCTGAAATAGAGGTAGTGGTGATTGTGGCGTGAAAACAGTCATCCTTTTGTTTCATAGGTGTGAGCAGTGTTGGTTGGTTGGTTGGTAGGAAAAGGTTATACACGTGGGAGATAGTTTAGTTTAATACAGAGCTTCTCACAAGCTGACTGTGATTCGTCTCCCAACAGGAATTCATTCAGTCTATCCAGTATGTCGCTTATTCTTTCATAAGGCGGCAAAATTTGAAGTGTGTGAGGTTGTCTTCACTGAAATATGTTACCATTGTGAAGTTCTTCGCAGTGATTATCCAAGCGAATAGACGATATTTTGATGGATTTTCGACATGTAATGAGTCATTTCATGTATTGTACTTCAACTGGGAGTGTGAGTGGTTACTTCGGAATGATGAAGTAATACTTTTGTGTAGATATCTGGCAACTACAATGACCATTCTCTTGAATACACCAGTCATCTATGGTAACCTGCTCACATTCGATGGCGAAGTGCAGGGCCATGATTACGACAGGTGACTGACTGGTGGTTACATCCTTGGCTCACTTAGTTAGATTCATTGACATCAAAGTGTTGAAAGCAGTCGAATATCATAGAGCTGTAGAGAGAGGGTGCAGCTTCTAGGACAGCATTTACAGTGATTCTAGACACGAGTATCTAGATATGTCATACTGGAAATATTTGACTACCGACTGGATGGTTGGTGTTATGATAATCGAGGGGAGTGTATGACTCCTTCAGATGAGTGTATCACTCCTGAATTAATTTGACGAAGTAACTGATTGGCCTGTCAAATATGACAATAGTAGGGTCTTGCTTTACATCCGTATCCACGTGTAATTCTTGTCAAGACTGTGTATTGACTGTGAGGAGATTAGGTGTGACTTATTTGAAGTATCCTGCCTGCCCATAGGTTTTCGTCAGTCCCTAGCATGTCACGATTAATTGGAGAAACTGGGACCAGTTTTTACAGCATCTTACAGATATATGCAGATATATATATATATGTGTGTAATTCAGTTTTATTACATATATGCCTTATAAATACTTTTTTTCTAAATAAATGCCACTTTTTACCTAGGGGAATATAAATGGTAGATTCAAGGTCCTTTGACTTTGGTGTCTATTCCTTACTCTTGCCATTCGTCATTAGGCAGTACACCAAGTATGTTTTCCGGAATGTCAATTAACGTTTTTACTTCAGATAGTCTCTGAACTCCTCTTGTTACATATTCGTACTCATATATATGTTTGAATATTCAGAGACAAGCAACGGTGGGCTATTGTAACCTGTGTTGGTCCTTGCAATATTTGTGTCCGTCGAGATCCCCAAGCTTACAACAATTGTAAACTTATTCTAGCCTATTCTTCGATAATGCCTTTTTTTATCGTCAATGAAAATTTTATGTACCCACTATGTTCTGAAGTAACGCTAGTCCGTGCTTAATATGTCCTGTGAGGGCTGGAACAACGCTGATAAGGAAGCCCAGTAAGTTCTGATCTACTCCTGAAAATGCCTAGTAAAAGAACGGGGTGCTGAAATAGTGGCAGTCATGCTGAAAACCAGCACTGAGGTCTAGTCTATACCATTAAAGAATCCATTTCAGAACAGATTCAAAATTTACTCACTATAGAATGTTAGAATTATTTCAGAATTAGTGAGATTTAATTCAGAATAATAGTAAGAGTTTATTATGGAAGCTTATACAACTTGTTTTGGTAAACAGTTTTATTTGTTGACCATCTTGTGTGAGTATTTAGCTCTCATTTGCAATTTGTCTCATCGCGTTAATACGTGAATCATCAGTTATCATAGGGTAAGCTGAAATTAGATCGCCTCTCCTCTTACGGTATGATAATGAAAAGAGCTTTATACTTTCTAACCTCTTATAGGGAAGGTTTGAGATTCCTCTGACCAAATTAGCGTCTAAACTTTGTTCTCTATCCATTTCTTGTGCCTCCTTGAAACATGGATTAAGTCCGTGTTCACAGTATCCAAGATGAGGTCTTAAAATTATTTATATTGTTTATTGTTACATTTAAAAACCATTGGAAGCGTTCAGAGTGTTAGGAAAGCTTAAGCCACATCTTCACTAAATTATGTAAGCCTTAAAGTTATGATTGACAAGAATTCGTAAGTCTTTGTATACCTTGACCATAGACAACTCTAATAACCACAGAAAAGTTCACACCTTATGTTATGAACAATAGTCATAATCTGAAGGTTACGACACAACTTGTCTGTTCAAATCACTATACTTAAAATGGTTTGGGTCCGCAGTCCAGTTATTGATATTGTATGCTCAATTCGGAGAAGTATATTGAGCACCGTGCCACTTGTTTTGTACGTACTAGTGGGATGTCCAAGTTTCCAAATGACTCGAATTTCTTCAGATTCTAGAGATTTTTGGGTTCGTATTCAGCCTATCGGAAACCAGGTATACAAATGTAGATATTAATACGCCTTACTAATATTTAGCTCCTGATTGCTTTCAATATAGTTCAAATGCAATTATCACACTTCACCGTTTTCTCATAACAGAGTTCTCACAATTTTGTCTTCGTTTTTGTGCATCTGCTAAAAACACTTGTTGAATATTACTGCCGTTCACCTGTAGATTTCTTAATAATTCTGACCAAGTACATCGTGTCAATATTGTTTTCACCAGGAATATCTAAGGAAATTTGGCACTCAACTTGGTTTTAAGAATGACACAATGATGGTGTTCACCTACGGAGCAATCTCTGCTCACTTATACAATGAGCCTATATTTTATTTGTGAAGATAGGAAAGGAAATTATTTAACCATGGTTAACTAATCAGTAATCGTATAGTACAATTGCAGAAATTTGGCGTATTGTCGAACATGACGGTTATTTGGTCTTTATCGTATATCATTGACAAGAAGTCTCAAGAATGCTTCCTATTGGTCTACACGACAGGAGGTTCTGTTCAGTGATGACAATGTTTAAGACGACAGTTACTATAATAAATCGAGAATCTGTCAACATGGTCGGCGGGCATCATGAAACTTAGTAATGTATTCTTTGTGTAAGCTGTGAATACGAAATTTCTCGCTAAGAAATAGGGTTACCGAGACCATCTAGTACACTACTGGGTAAGTTATTTGGTTGCTAATTGCATCTCTGTAATCATCATTTCTGCGAACTGTATCCCTACTTTGGTATTGAGAATTTTCACTACTTTTTAGGTGTAAACGTTTTAAGTTTGGATATTTCAAATTTGTTGAAGAAACGATGCATTTTTTATTGCCGTACGTTTTTTATGGAAATTGATCACTTAAGTGTACGATATTAACTAGTTACAAGTGGTGACCAGAAATAAGTTGTCAATATTTTCACATGATTTTTCAATTACAGAATGAATTCAAACAACTCATTAAGACTTATACTCCCAAAGAACAATGTATGTCTATCTACTGTTAGTTCGAGAACGTCTAGCTCTGGATCGGATTCGGTAATTCCAGTCACTTTATTTGTGTTATATAATAGTAAAAGATTAATTTATTTACAATCCAAATTGTCTGATAATTACATCGTGGTGATGTTTTTGGATCTTTCTTTTTCGACATAGAACTTTGCACATATGTGGGGCAGTTCAAGTCGCCACACTCCATGTAGCACATAATGCAAGAGAAGAAATTAGGAGAAATCCATAATATAGACCGTAAACAGAGGTGTGAGACAAAGGAATAGTAATAACGAAGAACAAAACAGTTTAACTGGAAATCATAAGTCACAAGGAGTGGATGCATCTGCACCAGCCATTGAGAACGATTTTGAGCCATGTCACCAATTGTTTCCAACCATTGGTTTTTACCATCCCGAGTACCCCAACCAGGAAGTCTACACCTACCTACGTGGCTTAGACTAACTGTTGTAGACTTCACTGACTGGTGCCATGTTTTGGTTCGACCACTACTGGCTCTTTTCCAGTCTGACCCTATATCAGCTAACATTGCCCATTGTCGAGGAAGGCAATGACTAGGCATGCATGCGTAACACATGTCCTAACCATCTCAGTCGATGTAATTTCACAGTCTCGTCGACTGATTTCCCCTCCCACCTACCTAAAACTCGACGCCTAACCTCAGTATTGCTCACCTTATTATACCACTTCACACGGGAGATAGAACGCAGACACCTATGATCGAAGACAGGTAATCTTTTCATGTCTTCCGCTCTCAATGGCCAGGTCTCACAGCTAGCCATAAAGGAGGACGGAGCGGACTGTTGAGCAGTACACCCGCCCTTTGGTCGATAGTCGGATATCACGTATAGGCCAGAGACGGCGTAAACTGGCATATGCGAACCTAGCCCTCTGTATTCGTACTGAGATTTCGTCAGAGATCAACCCGTTGGGGCTGATGGTACTTCCCAAATAATTGAAGTGGTCAACGTGCTCTACCACTTCACTTCCTACTTCTAATCTAGGGGTCGGTGTATTCCAATCCTGCAACATCATCTTACATTTTACAGGGGCGAATCGCATGCCAAACATTCTTAAATTGCAGCTGAAGGTGTTGAGAAGACTCTGCATTTTGTCAGCGTCCTCACCTAGAAGGACTATATCGTCTGCATATTCTAAGTCAACGAGATTATTCCCTGGTAGCAAGTCAATCCCTGAGTCTCTGAAGTGAGTTAGGGTTTAGTCCATGAGTACGTCTATTATGAAGTTGAATAGAAATGGGGATAATGGGCATCCTTGACGGACGGCACTAGTCGTCACCACTTCAGATGACAACTCGCTGTAAGCCCTCACCTGGCTGCATGAGTTTGAGTAGAGTAGAGTGCCTTAATCAGTGCAATGTATTTTCTCGGCATTCCCTTTACAGCCAGGCATCGCCAGAGAACCTCTCGGTCGACAGAATGGAATGCCGCCTTTAGGTCAAGAAATATAATGATTGTTGGACGCCGGTAGGAATGCCTATGTTCTAGAATCTATTGAAGGGTGAAGATATGATCAATGCACCCTCTTCCTGGCCTAAAACCTGCCTGCTAGCCAAAGTTGGTAGACAGTAATTGTCGTCAATGTTTATGTCTCCAACATTGGTGGTGAGAAAATGGGAACAAAGGCTTTGCGTAGGCGGATACAGTTAGCATATGGATGATCTGACACAGCCACAAAGAGATGCAAGGTTAACTTTCTGTGAGCAACAACCAATCAAACGACTGTATTTTCCACTAACAATAATCTACAGTAGTGTACATTGACATCTGTAAATATGTGTTTATTTTCCTTAATAAACGATCTGTTGCCTGACCCTTGTCTTCTGTTGTTACAATACCTGTTGTAGCACATTTTGTTTTTATTAGGGTCTCAATTTCGTTTTATCATATTGTAGTGTTGTAATTTACCAGTGTTTTGCATTCCTTCTGATGTTGATTTCGTGTATTTCAGGGAACTCATGTAACAATAGTAGCCAGTTGTGTTTTGCTACGTAGTTTAATAATTTAAAAAAAATACGTTGTAGAGATATAATGATCTTGTCTTTAAAGGGAATGGTGTGCAGAATTTTCGACAGTCGGTGTAAACAGTTTTTTTAATCGTGGTGTATTTAGGGGCTATACTTCAGGTTATTAACATTTATTCCTAAAGTTTTTTCAGAATGTTTACAAGTTGGCAACAGCAGCATTATGTAGTGTTAGTCAATGACCAGAACATTGACACTGAAATCAATAATTAATTAATTAATTAATTGGGTGTTCGAAGATATATAACTGTGACACCCATAAACTTGACTCACTTCTGTATGCCTGAGAAGGAGGTAAGTGGAAAGCTACTTATGCTTATCACATCTTTGTAGCCTTTTATTGCTTTTTGTGCTAACGAAAATCGGAACTGAAAAACATGAAGGTGCATTACACCACCTGGACCATTGGATTGAATCCCAGTAGCTTAATTGTCCACGAGGTTTTCTTGTAAGCAGAAGGTCCTGGGTTCGAACCCCGGCGGGTGCGTACTGACGACGAGTCCCAAGCCAGGAAGAAACAGCTGTCCAGTACTCCAGGTCTTCCAACGGTTCTCCAACCGATGTCAGCTCATGATGAAATCCTGTAATTAATATTTTTCTATAATCCCGTCCTATAATGGGTGTTTGCCCAGAGATTTGTGTAGGCCCATTAGGTCATGACAGGTGCACTACCCCTGAGTAATAGCCGCTGCCTTAACGTGGTGGTAGGGTTTGCAGTGTCACAACGAAACAACGACTTACACTTGTTGGAACAAGTATTCCTGCAGTTTTTACCATGCCAGAAATATCGTTTGTGTAGTTAGGTGTTGAATTAGTGGCAGCTATTAATTATCACAGTGCAAGTTGGTCATGTGTTGGAGGAGTGTCTGAGGGCGAATTCCTACTGTTGGCGAATAGAGACGTAACAGGTAGCAACGAGGACGTTGCACTATGACCTTAACATAAACAAAAATTGTCAGTCTAGGGAAGAAATAACTAAACTAGCACCTAAGATTGACAGGAAGACTCATTCTGAGAGAGCATGGCATACCACCGATTCCTGTGTAAAACTGTGATCAAGGCTCTTAATAACCTGGAACCAATGGTTGGTAAATGGCAATGGATTTCTGCTGCTGATAGACTCAAGAACACTGATTCTGGTAGGTTTTAAACATGACGAGGAAAGAAAGATGCTGAAATGCAAACTGACTTAGAATTTCCACAATCACTGTGAACACTGGTGGGCGACAAAAGCGAAAGCGATGGAAAAGAATTCAGCAATAGATAACACCAGCAAACTATTTAAACTCATCGGTGAAACAAGTTGTAAAAAACCACTGGTATGCGAAACGATTTCTGGGAACGGTACTTTAGTTACCTTTCACAATTGAAACGTTGTGAGAACATCGACTGGCTTGACTAACATTGTATCTAAAATCCAATAGTCTCATGTGTCGACTAAGCAGCTCTCAAATGAAACACCCGTGGGAACAAGATATGTTTTCGTTTCAGTTGACTCCTGGTTTAAACTTAGGGGTGGGGGTTTGTGTGAATTGGTTAAGCGCTATGAAGTAAGAACTACAAACTGTTAGTGACATGGCTCAGTTGCACTCACGCCTCATGATCCTCCAGATCCATGTAATCCTCATCTTTTTAAAATATTTATTCATAGTTCATAGTAGTTCCTTAGAATTTTGTTCTGTACCTTTGTGCAAAGTTTTACTTTGAAGAATCAGTCAGGCGGATTAACATGTATGCACTCAGTAGGTAAAGTAATTATGATACATAGGGTGGTTAGGTTTCATGATTGACGCGCAATCTTTAAATCACGAACTATTATATTTCAGCCGAATGGTTGTATGATAGTGCTCATGTCTGGAAACATGACGGTTCCCGCCGGTTCGTGAGTGCCTGCCTGTTGAAGATTTCTACACCATAACGAATAACCAATTAGGTCACTGCTTTCTGATATTGCTGTTTCTTTTCATGAGTCAATCACTAAGCTGGGCATTTTTTTTCATAATTTTTAGATTTTGATTTGGTTTGTAATTTTCTTCTTTCTGTCTTCTTATCAAAACAGCTGGTCTCTAGCTTGCCTTCACCTTTACGTAGGCAAATCGAACGAATAAATCAGCGCCCTTCATTGGCTGTAAACACTGAATCAACAGAAATGGATGATTTCAGTGAAAATGATATCGTGCATTATGGCGATGTTGAATCCGGTAATCAAGAATTCAACCCTCTCAGAAGCTACCGCGAACTATATGCCAATGCGATTGTCCCTCGTAGGCATTTAAGAGCTCCCACAGTACTCCCCGATTACCGATTGATTCTGTAACGTTTCCACCTGGACCGCGTCACTCTGGCTTCGACGTGAATAAGGAAGGAAAACTGCGTCCAACTGTCAAGTTTTTGCTTCGCATAGGTATGGGCTATATAACTGTCATTGCTTATTGGTTTTGAATAAGTATTTTATAAAAGGTTTCTGGTTTGAGTAATTATTTTATTAGACATCACTTATGAAGTGCGTTACCAGTTTGTTGTAATTTCCTGAGAAATAGGAAATTATTCCTAATGTATAGTGATCACTTCACCTGATGACGATGGTTCAGTAATCTGCCAGACAGTTTTCGTTCTCACCATTCTTTCAAGCTTTACTTTGGTTTTCACCACCTTGTATAGTAAGTATCCTTTGGTATCAATCAATGCAATACTACTAAAGTAGAACTTACAGAAAAGTGAGGTGAGAAAGTAAGTCGGTAGTTATACGTAATTAGAAATTTAGTGTATGAAACTCTACGCGGATCCTTCGTTGTTGATAGATAACTTACTGTTTTCAGTCAGTGTAACGTGTTTGGCAGTAATAATTGATAAGATCTTCGTGCATTTGTTTCGTCTATCCGTATTGTTCAATATCTCACCGTCGCTATTATCATCAGTATAGATGGTGTATCTCTTGGTGGTAACAGCCATTATGTTCCACGCATTTAGTGGCAGTTAGCGAATGATTCAATGATGTGTTAATACATTTCATTTGGGTGATGAAGTGTCTATGTGTACGAAAGGTTGTTTAGCAAAGGGTTATTGATTGATAGAAAAGGTTATGGAGCTGCATGGATGTTGTTTTATTGATCACTGCGGTGTAATTGCTCTGTAAGTATGGTATGTGCTTTGCACCGTCTAAGTGCAAAGTACTGTTACAAGATTGGCAGGAGCCTGTACCTGCACTCACTGTTGCGGGTGAACCGCTTGAAATATGTGTAAAACTTGGGCACTGTGGTAGTAAGTAATTCCATATTAGTTTGTTTATTAGATATATCACATAGTGAAACAGTATTATTTACTGGATGACGTTTCGAACAAAATTTATTGTTCATAATCGTATCAATTGTAATCACACGACTTTGACACTTGAGTTTTATAGTTTCCTTTGTTCTCTCCTATTTGTCGTATGGGTAGTTGAATTTTCGAGATATCGGGGAGAGGTGATGAATCATTCCTGTTACATGTATTTGTAGTTGATTCGATAAACAAAGCTTCTGTTATCAATCTCTCCCTATACCCTGTGACATTAGATTTTAAAACTGTCATCCTATGCCATCCTATTGTATGGTTGTGTGTAACTGCATGTAGTGCTATAGCTGAACTATTCTCTAGATTTCTTATCTTGTCCGGGTCAACCAATCTAGATTTTGCTAGGTTTTTATGCTCAGGTAGTCTGACTGCCCCTGTTCTACTAGTATGACTTATGTATTTGACCTGACAATCATTCCGGCAGGGTATGAGATAAACTAAATTGTTTTGTCTTAAAGGCTCTACAGGATCGTTTAACCGACAAAGCTTGTTTCTAATTGAGTTTGTGTGTTTGAATGCCATTTTTATTACTGCCTGCCTTGTTAAGAATTCTGCGTAAGGCTTCCGAGATTCCTTCCTTGTATGGAATTACTACTGATGATTTAGATTCCTTATTATTGGTGTCGTCATTAATATTATGAATATTATCACTATCATTATTATTATTATCATTATTATTGTTATTATCACTATCTCTGTTATCATTATTTATTTTATTTTTACATTTCCTTACATATTTCTTGACTAATTTATCCGTGTGATTATTAAGTTTCAAGGCTTCTTTTATATGTATCAGTTCCTGTTTTAGATTTTCTTTGGTACTGCTTAGTTTTTGTGCTCTGTCATTTAAACATTTCACCAATCCTATTTTTACTGACATAGGATGGGACGATCGGAAGTCCAAATATCTGTTTGAGTGTGTGGGTTTCCTGTAAACACACTACTGTGTTTAACTTCTCATCCTCTTTCCTCTTTACGTTGCAATCTAACATTGGGAGCTGCCCTTCCTGATTTTCCAATTCATAAGTGAATTGAATTGCTTCAACCTTCGAGTTGATGTATTCGAAAAACCTATCTGTATCTTGTGTTTTAAGTACAGTGAATGTGTCATCTACATACCTGTACCATACTTTTGGGGTTGTGGTGAACGTTTCAATCGCTATGCTATCCCACTTATCCATGAATATATCTGCTACAACTGGAGATATGGTGATCCCATGGCAACTCCTTCAGTTTGTATATTTTCCCTTGAAATTTAAATACTGTGGGAGTCAGGCATAGCTGTACTCCCAGCATTATGTCCTCAAGTGGCACTTTTGTCCTGAGTTCGATTTCTTGGTCAGAAATGAGTTGGTTTCTGACTGCCTGCATAGCCATATTTATTGGTATACGTGTGTATAAGCTGATAATGTCAAAACTAACCATTTTTTCTTCATTATCTAATTTTAAATTATCTAATGTGTGTTTTATTTCATAAGAATTTGTTAGTCTAGATTTCGAGTGGATTTTTAGGGGATTTAATACCATGGCTAAATATTTAGATAATTCATAAGTAGGTGAATTTCTAAAATCAACTATAGGCCTAATCGGGTATCCTGACTTATGAACTTTAACAACACCATACATCCTACTGGGGTTATTAGTTTTGGGCATTAAATTAAACCACTTAGAGTCACCTAGAAACGGCTTCATTCGGCGTATAAGGTCCGCTGTGGATTTATTAACTTTATTCATAACTGTATCTATTGGTTTATTAATTTCCACATATGGTCCTGTTTGTATGTGAGTATTTACCTTGTCCAAATAGTCTGATTTGTCTAATACAACTGTTGCATTTCCTTTGTCTGACTTTGTGATAACTATATCCTTGTTATTCTTAAGGTGTTTCAGGGCTTCTATCTCTTGTTTTGTCAGGTTGGGTTTTCCACATTTTTGTCGTTTTAATGTCAGTGCACACTGTGCTCGTATTTCATCAGCCGTGGTTTTGTCTATCCCACTTAGTGCTATTTCTATTTCAAAGTCGTGTGATTACAATTGATATGATTATGAACAATAAATTTTGTTCGAAACGTCATCCAGTAAATAATACTGTTTCACTGTGTGATATATCTAATAAACAAACTAATATGAACCGCTTGAAGTTGTTGATAAGTTTGTGTATCTGGGTAGTTGTGTGAGTGCTGGCGGAGGGGTGACGGATGAGATTTCCAATCGTATAATGAAGGCTAGGGTGGCATACATCAACTTGAGCCACCTCTGGCGCCGTCGCGACGTTAGCTTGGCTGTCAAAGGTCGGGCATACAATGCTTCGGTGCGGGCTGTCTTGCTCCACGCCTGTGAAGCCTGGCCTCTCCGAGCTGAGGATGTGAGCCGACTCTGCGTGTTTGATCGTCGCTGTCTCCGCAGGATTGCTTGCGTTCGATGGGATCGTCGCGTGAGTAATTCTGAGGTTCGGCAGCGTGTGTTTGAACACAGTGGAGATCACCATTCATTGAGTGTCGTTATCTGGGAACACGGGTTCCGGTGGCTCGGACATGTGCTGCGAATGTCATCCCAGAGGCTTCCGTACAGGTCTGTATTCGCTAGTCCTGGGACGGGATGGAAAAGGCGGAGGGGTGGTCAGTCCATGACGTGTCGTCGTGGGATGAAGGATTTTTGTGCTAGATTAGCATCGATTGGTGCGTCACGACTCCCTGGTTGGGGTCCGCGAGATAGCTCGTATCGATGGCTCGAAACGTTATCGGATATGGCGAAGAGTGGTGATCAATGGCGAACGTGTTGCAATTTCCTTCTTTCTTCCCTTCGTGATGATAGTTAAGGAATACTGTTTGAACTTGTTAAACATGACTTTTCCTTCCAGATGAAGTTCTTTATCCGTTCTCTCCTTATATTTTTAATTTTAATCTATGTTGTTTTACTATTATTGTGTGGCGCATCTTTCTTGGTGTCATATTATACCAAGTTTTTTCTGCGTTTAAATAAAATAAATAATTGCTCACCGCACTGTTACAATTCCTTATTACTTTCTGTTGACTCATATCAATGACTACTTTCAACTCTTGTCATGTGTTTATTGATTCTCTCCATGTACACTGTTAGGCACACATGACTTCTTGAATTGCTATACTTTTCGAGATAGTGTACATCTCTATAATCTGCAAAGGGATTATTTTTCTTAGTGATAAAAATCAGTATCTCATAGTTGCACTAAGCTAACTGTAGTGGTTTAGTGTGTATACTAAAAGTAAGCTGTACAAGGTTGATTAACAGTGGGCGAACAAACGTGTGTAGCACAGATTGCAAGTATCCATTGGCGGTTAGTGCCTAAAAAGTATAAATCTAGTTGTTTTTTTCTTTGTTTTTGAAGTTTCGTATCACTCATTTTGAAAGAACTGCGATTACTGAATTTTTTGTTATAAATTGGGTTGAACTGAGCACACGACTCAAAAAGTGTGACTTCCCAATAAAATCATTTTATTTGTATAGTTTTGCTTTTTCTAAGAGCTTAGCATTGAAGAAGTAACTGATATTAAAGCTATTTTTACTAGCTGTAAATCTAGGAATTATTTCCAGATTTTTGAGGATTTTCGATTATCATTTTTGATATAATATCTTCTATTCAATCTTTTAAAGGAATATTTCGCATCCCAACTGTTTGTAATTACACCTTTTGTCACTTTGTTTAGGTTCGGCGCTTTTACGACACCAATACGACTCAGTGGCTGTGGAGAAGGCAAATCCTTCTCCTCAACTACCACTTTGTAATCGACGTAAACGCCGACGTATAGAGGAGCAGTCGAATAACAAAAATTCTTTAGTTCCATCAGTTAATACTTCTCATTTAACGTGGAAACCGAAAACTTATCACCGTCGCTGGGATGAGATATGGAATTACTGTACTGATAACAAATGTCCATATGTTCCTGCATCTGCTATGCAGTTAATACGACATCTGGAACAAGGTCATCAAGAATTTGTTAATATTAATCCGCTTGTTGTGCTGATAGAAACACGTCCAAAAAGCACTGAAAATAATGGCAGTATGATAAATCTTGCAATGGATTATGGTGATTACCTGATGAGTCGTTTTTATGTCCCCCTTGCAGTGAATATGTCCAACTCGTCTTTAAGTATGCCAAAATACTCTTGTTCTGTATGTGGTTGGATTAGCAAGAGTCAGAGGGCATTAAGTAATCACCTTAAACGGTGAGTGTATACATGCATCTAATATACTCATTTTTTCGATTAATATATCAATTTGTAAAATATATCATCCTTCAACATTTTGTTCTAGACAAAAGCGGTTCTTGTCATCCTTTTAACGTAACGGCTATTGAGACCACACAATAAAAATGGATTTACTAGTAAAATCCAGAAAAGAAACATAAAAGAGATTGATTTCAAGTGCTATGTATGCCCAGTTACATCCTCTTAGGACTTAAAGATGCTTGCGTGGGTAAGCGTCTGTCATCAGAACTATCCACTTATCATTAATATATGGTCGTGTTCTGTGATACATGATACGTATACGAAGTATAGCATAGGTTGGAAATTAGAGCACGTTTGAGTATGTTGTGATCTAACGAAGACGAACTCATTGTTTTATTTTTTTTCTGTTCCTTTACGTTCCTAGTGGAACATAGGGCTTCAAGCTAGAGGCTTGCAGTTTCGGTAGCAGTGGTGTTTATTTTTACGGGATGGGATTAATGGCCTCATGCCAAACCTTCCCTCTTTACTAGCCTTATTACTGGCGTGGCGAGGTAAAGGAGTGCATCGACCGGGGGTTGAACCTCGAACGACCTGTGTGGTTGGCGAGCATTCTGCCGCTGTGCCGCCGATGCATTGTTTTATACCTCACTGTAATTACTTTGTTTTGTTGATTTTTCGGTCACTTGTTGAGGAATGAGTGATCAGAAAATTCCTTTTAAACAATGACAATACATGTGTGTGCATGTCAGTTGTATAATCTCTGTTTCAGAAAGGATGAAGTCTACCATCCTTTCAAAAGCTTTTGAATAATCACTTAATGGTTTCTCCAATTTTCTAACGAAAACTGGAAAACTCCGTGATAAACCATGGTAAGTCTGTACTCAGCACCAACTGAGTCCACGGGCACCAAAAAGAAGCGCTATAAAGACGGGGAAGGAAAGAATTAAAAAGAACTAATCACTAAAGGAGGCCAATGTTACTAGAAACGCTTAAAAGAATTTTGATAACTTCTATGCAGAGTATTACCACCACTGCTTTTAGTTCGAAGCTACGTCTGATTCGGCTTTCGGTTATCAGGATAAAGACATTCTTGGGATCTACCACATTACGATGCCACATTGTATGAAATGATCTACTTTTTCGAAGCCGCCGTCTTAGTAACAGGAAATATTGTGGTTTATGGTAGTCACTAGAAAAGTGTGCCTGTCTATATGGCTAAAGATGATAATGTTTTTAAACTACTCTACTTATGTTAACGTTTACGGTTGAACTTGAAACTTCCTTATATCCTTTCTCCAGGACAAGTATGATTGACTTCAAAAGAAAGTCATCAGAAAATATAAATTGCCGCGAGATATGCATGCATTTCAGATAGAGGTCTCATCACCCAATTGTAGATTTATCTAGGTTTAAGCACCACTCACTTGAACATTTATACTCAGATTTGCTCTATAGTGCCACTTAAGGGTAACCGTTCGTGAGTATAGCTTTGAATTACTATATAGAGTGGAAAATCTCATTTGACTGACCTCTACTAGATCCCACATACATTTCACGTTTTGCTAATCTAACCTGTAGACGATAATACCACTAACTTCTTGTTCTCAAAGTTTGTTAATTGACCGTCTTTTATTTTACTTCACTCAGGGGGAATCGGCTACCTTGAGGGTGGGTTGTAATTATTAGGGATTGATGATAGTTCTTAAAAATGTATTACTTGTTTGTTTGTTTGTTTATTTGTTTTTGTATATACCAAAGATTGTAATCATTTTCATTTCTTTAAAAAAATTATTATTCTAGCACTCATGCACAATTGACTGTTGAGCGTATAGAGAATCCCAAAGTTATGATATGCTCTGTTTGCGGTTCGCCTATAGGATCTGCTAACTTATTTCAGACTTCTTCACGTAGTCTAGACTCGGATATTTTTTTACACGCTTCGTGTAAACCAAATAATTCATTTCACGAGAGCGCTCCTTGGTCTGGATATGATGCTCATGCTTTAGCGTGTCTTACGCTGAATCCCTCGTTATATGCCAGATTCAGTTTGCCTTTTAAATTTGTCCGTTTCCTGTATAATTTAATACAAGCTATGATTGTGACTCGAGTAAATGCATTCGGACGTTGGAGCCTCCAGTGTTATACTGTAAAGTATTGTGCAAGCATATCAGCTATTTACGGTGAACTCATCGAGCCAAAGAAAGTTAAACCTTTTAACCATTCTAAAATGAGCAGGATCCTAGAGGATAATGGCAATATGCAGTCAATATTCCCTGTGATTTCATTACCTATGTAAGTACTAGTGTGTGTGTGTTTTTTCTTCTAATTTGTGTTTTAATATCAATAATAGTATTGGATCTCACGATCTTCAGTGTTAAGCTCTGATCCTTCTTAGTACGTCAGTTTTCATGTTTGACTCCTATTTTCTTTTGACACATTAGCTTCACACAAGCGATTTCGTTTGAAAAGCAAGTGAAAACGAAGACACTTGTGTGTAAGGTGATGAGATGAGCCCAATTTTATTTGAAGGTTCCATGTCGATTTCTAATAGTATAAAATGGTGAAGTTCATCATGGATAGTGGTGAAATGAGTAGAATGCGTACGCGGACAACTTGCTTTTTACTTTCACTCTTGTGTAGTGTTGATAGTAGATATCACAGATACTTGTCGCATCCATTTAAAGTATTTTGAAGAGGCGACGGGCAACCGCTTTGCTCGCTAATGAAAGCACGTTAGACAACCAGTCAGAAATAATGAGCCACAATGGATTGTAGCACTAGACTAGCCGAGAACCTGTTTACCAACCAACCAACCAACAAATCAAAGGGAGTCTACAGATCACGTCACTTATGCTGCAAATGTCTGTTGTTGTTTTTTTGGATGTAGGCTAATTTGCATCCTGTTTGGCGTAGACCTGATAGTCTGCTATTCATAAGTTGACAAGTGTGTGTTGTTTAGATTTTCGCTCTCTTCTGTTATATGTCTATCTGTAGGAGACACTTGTGTTAAAGTGGTTATTTATCATAAGCTGCTGCTGTGTATAATCTGTTGTGTTAGTCGGAGCGAAATGGCTTGTTATAGTGATGATTCACATCGAATGTCAAGTAAGCAGTGGGAGTGCATGCATTATGTTGCATAATTATATAGATTGAGTTGTCTGGGACATCTATTATTCATTCTGAGGCGGTAGCACTTTCCACGAGGGATAGATACTATTTGCAACTGTAGCAAGCTTGAGGTGGTCAGATGAAAAGAAGGCACTCAGCAGTGAAGTCTGTGACAATTGGTTTGAATCATGTTAGGCGGTTTATACTGTTCGACTAGGGTCATTTAGATGCTGAGAGTCAATAGTTTGAGACTATTGTTGCTATATGACTCAAAATTGTTCGTAATGATGCAGACATGTTCAACTTGTTCTACCATCTTTCAGATTGTGAAAATCCTCACTAATCTCCACGTAAATATTTTTTCTTGGCGATAGATTTTCGTCCATTGATATTTCAGTACATTTCTTTCCCCCGAGTTTATGTGCACTGTTGGGAAGTGTGGCAACTTGAACTGAAGTACTTTTTGTGCAGATTGCTCAGCTGGTAAGTCAGTCAGTCAGTCATTGATAAGATCTTTGGTAATCCAAGTAAGTAGAGAGAAAGAGCAGAAGTTTCTTGAAGTTGTGAATTTTTTTGTGTAGCCAGCTGTGAATGTTGCTAGTTGCATATATACATAAATATGTATAATGGTTTCCAAATACCACTGTTAATAAAAAACCAGGCTTATGTTTCGTGTTAATCACTTTCTGTGTTTTATATTCTAACAGTTGCGTTAATATCAGTTATGTGTACAATCATTCTTTTATAGAATTCCAACTCCATGTACTGCGAATCCGAATCAAAGTAACCAAATTACTTCAGGGAGTGTTATTCATTTCCCAACTGTCTTCGAGTCACCATCTGTAACAACACAAACAAGTTTTTCTTTGCCGGGTAGTGTTAATCCTACAAATTTGTGTGTATTACCGACTCCATGTGTTGGTCATGTGCCAAATTTTGTGTCAAAGTCAGTTACATGTTCTATAGCGCCACCGACCACCTCAGTCGGTCAGTCTACTTCAAATACAGGACAGATACGCCCTCAAACTTCTCAACCAATGTTCCCGATTTGTGTCACAGTTGCTGAACAGCCTGGTGTATCACTGAATAGAAAAACACAGATTCCAGTTGCACCATGTTCTGCTGCGTCATCGAATAAGGCAACTGTTGTGTCGTCCGTTGCTAGTCATTCGAGCATTCCTATTCAGTCGAATTCTACAGTGTCTGTTTCTACTAATTTGACTTCACAGAAGTCATCTCAACAGTCGTTTCCTGTTAGTTCAAGTGTAAATACCATACTTGTTCAACTGGGACCAAGTGATCTAATCAAGCGAAGTATGGGAAAACCACCATTTGGTGTACTCCCTGCACAAGTCCCATGTGAATTATGCCATCAGCTAATTCCGACGAACATCGATGATCAATATCGCCATATTGTATGTTCTCATAATGTAAGTTCTCCTATTTGTGTAATGTCTGAATTATGAATACGAGAACAATCTTTCACTAGAAGTTGGTTGCTGGAAACTGTGGATTTGTGTTGATAAAGAATGGTCATGCATTACTATAGCTAAATAAATAGCGGACTACACGAACGTTGATGCGACGCCAATTCTTGCAAATAGTACCCTGAATTCTCTAGTCAACATATACGCATAAGTGTGGTGTGTGAACATGTGTACAATTCAACACTACAAAGTGAGTTAGCCAGAACGACCGCTTAACCACAGTGATCTAGTTGCCAGTTGCTAATCAATTTGTCAAGTGACCATTAGATTATCTGTCAGATTTCATTTGTATTGCCAACCACCATCACCCTTCACATTCAATCAGTCGTAATCGACTGATGATGACAAGTAGTACTTTGACGTAGTTGTCAGACTTATCATAATAATAACTCCAATAGAATTTTCCTAGCCAACACTATTACATTTGGAAATAGTAGTATTGTAACAACAGAAGACAAGGGCCAGGCAACAGATCAGTTTTATTACGAAAACCAACAGGTATTTATATGTATTTTACGTACATTAATAAGGCTCTGCCCGCAGAAAGAAGGCGGTCTTCTGATTGGTTGTTTGCAAACAAACGCAGTCTTCTGCTTTCTCGTTTTCGATATTTCTCGGAAATGCGAGCCACTTGTCTGCGAATCATATTTGTCCACGTCTAGGTCAGCTGTGATCGGTTGTTGAATCAGCCCAGATTAATTTCCACCAATCAGCGTAGATCAATGTCTACCAATCGGCTAGCAGCTTGCTCTCACCACAGTATATTACTGAAGTCAATAGAGTAGTAGTGATATAGGAATAAAGATTTCTGCTATCATCAACATCCAGTGTCCTTAATAGGTCTGTTAGAACAGTAGTATGTTCCCCTCGGACAGTCGATAGTCTGAGCCACATTGCTGACTGGCTGTCTTACAAGAAAAAAAAAGAAGAGAAAATTAAGTGTGTATGATAAAAGGTCGTGCGTCATTGAACCGAACAAGTGATCATCAAAACATTAATAGTAACATGGAGAAAGGACAACGCTTTCCCAGTCATCCTTTTTTAGTCTTGTTCATTTTGATTTAATTCGTCTGTCTGACACTGTCTAAATTAGGATATATATATGTAGATACATGGATAGTTAAATTAGACACTTGACACCAACCGGTTGGTGGTGTTAAGCTTGGAGTCTGAGTTCAATCACTCCGATTATTAGGAAGATCAGAAAAGGTCAAAATAAAAATAATGGTGAGACGAATAGTGGTAAGATAAATAAGATAGAATATAAGGCACCTACAGGTCTACCATATAAGGAGGGGACATCTGAGACCCTATGTAGAATTCTTAATAAAGTAGGAATTAGAGTGGCATTTAGACCTACAAACTCACTCAGAGACAATCTGTGTAGGCTAAAGGACGCGTTGGACCCAATTGGACAAAATATAATTTACAAGATACGTCTCAATGACTGAGTTAAATCAACTGCATAGGTCACACTAGTAGATCGGGTGTAGTCAGATTGTCAGAACATCGTTAAGGTTTAGAATGGCTGACCCCGCGAAGATAAGTAACTTAGAAAAAAGCTCAGCAATTGCACTGCATGGATCAACATGGATAGGAGAAAGTTTAAAATCTAAGAAGTAATATAGGTAGGTGGAGATAGAGGTTGATTACTGAATCCGTGTTCATCGAGTCTACACCCAACACGTGCAATAGGAATGACTCATCACTCATACCGGAAATGTGGAAAATATTACTGTAACTACAGAAGACGAAGGTCAAGCAACAGATCGTTTATTGAGAAAGTCAAGAGATATAGATTTTTCTGTACATTATTGTCAGCGGAGAAGTAACGTCTTCCGATTGTTTGTTTTCTTGCTGAAGGTTATTCTGTACTGCTTGTGACCGTTTCTTAGAAAGTTGAGCCATATATCCAAGAGTCGTATTTGCCCACATTAAGTCTACCGTGATTGGTTGGTGAGTTCCTCAAGGTTAAGCTTTGTTATTATTTTTTCTCATGTGCCCGAATCAGATAGTAACATTGAGGTAAATTGCTGTCTACAATTTTGGCTTGCACACAGGTCTCACCGCAATACTACCAATCAAGTGGAGTGGTGAAAAATAATGAAATTATATAAACGAAGTTCGAAAGTTGTGTGAGTATCCTGATATGATTATGAGCGGCAATAAGTTGTGCCTCAAACGTCATCAGTAAATATTACTGTATAACACTGTGGGACTTTATCAAAATAGATTTTACCCACAATGGAATTATACTTTACCACAGTGCACAAGTTCTATTCTTATATCAATGAATCTATCTAATCCATGGGCTTTATACAACTGTTGTATTTTGTTGTTTTGTTTTTTTCCTTTACAGTTTCTTGGTTGTGATTTGTGTCCGACATTCTGTATGACACGCGAAGACTTAATTAGACATGCGAAGGTAGCTCATGGAATTGAAGTCGTTAATACTCCAATATCTGTAATGAAGTCACAACGTCTGTTCCACCCAATGCCTCTTGGAATAATATACCAACAACGCTTGTAACCACTCCAACTGCAAATGACAATCTACCCATCAGATTAACGCGGACTACTACTACTCCTACTTCTACTCCATCAGTGAACTCGAAAATATCAGGTAGACTACAATCTGGATCAGCTTCTATACGGATTAATGATTCCACTCTTAATAGACAGTCAACATATGAAAGTATTCAGTGTAGCAGTTACAATAGATACAGTGGTGGTTGTGGGAGACGACCAGGTATTACTAATGAATATAATGTGAAGGGTGGTGATAACGCAAGAGGAAGACAAAGTGGATTAGAGGCCACAACTATGTCCATCTCTGATATTGATGATGATGATTTTCTTTTCTTTTTTGATTATAGCTTGGTATCACACAGTATTTTTGGTACAAGTATGGAATGGTGATTTTGTCTGTCCAATGTGTGAATTTCACAGCAAGATCCGTAGCACAATAATGCAGCATATCATGGATGTTCATTAGGATTGTAATTCTACTACTACTGCTCGTGCGCCTATCATATTTTGGTCGTTTATATTATCACTGTTAAGAATATTATTATTATTATTATTATTATTATTATTATTATTATTATTATCCAGTGGGTTATTCGGATAGAAGGAAAGTATCATGTATCCTCAAGTTGATATTTGTTATTGATGATTCAGTTAGTTTTCTGTGTTATTCGATTGCTGTGACGTTTACATTCACTGATACAATCGTCAATCTGCTAGAGGTGCGTTTACTGATATTAATTCCAAGTACTTCTTTATACTGCACACCAAAGTTCATATTTTTCTTCAACTTTTTTTTCCTATAGAGTTATGTGTTATTGTTAAATACCATTGTAATCATTATTATTATTATTATTTTTACTACTCATGAGTGTTTTCAAGTCTGCTGTGTTATACCGCCACCGTTGTATTACTTTTCTCCAAGTTTGCTTAGTTATTCTGTTGAAACAATCATCCTGAAATAGAGGTAGTGGTGATTGTGGCGTGAAAACAGTCATCCTTTTGTTTCATAGGTGTGAGCAGTGTTGGTTGGTTGGTTGGTAGGAAAAGGTTATACACGTGGGAGATAGTTTAGTTTAATACAGAGCTTCTCACAAGCTGACTGTGATTCGTCTCCCAACAGGAATTCATTCAGTCTATCCAGTATGTCGCTTATTCTTTCATAAGGCGGCAAAATTTGAAGTGTGTGAGGTTGTCTTCACTGAAATATGTTACCATTGTGAAGTTCTTCGCAGTGATTATCCAAGCGAATAGACGATATTTTGATGGATTTTCGACATGTAATGAGTCATTTCATGTATTGTACTTCAACTGGGAGTGTGAGTGGTTACTTCGGAATGATGAAGTAATACTTTTGTGTAGATATCTGGCAACTACAATGACCATTCTCTTGAATACACCAGTCATCTATGGTAACCTGCTCACATTCGATGGCGAAGTGCAGGGCCATGATTACGACAGGTGACTGACTGGTGGTTACATCCTTGGCTCACTTAGTTAGATTCATTGACATCAAAGTGTTGAAAGCAGTCGAATATCATAGAGCTGTAGAGAGAGGGTGCAGCTTCTAGGACAGCATTTACAGTGATTCTAGACACGAGTATCTAGATATGTCATACTGGAAATATTTGACTACCGACTGGATGGTTGGTGTTATGATAATCGAGGGGAGTGTATGACTCCTTCAGATGAGTGTATCACTCCTGAATTAATTTGACGAAGTAACTGATTAGCCTGTCAAATATGACAATAGTAGGGTCTTGCTTTACATCCGTATCCACGTGTAATTCTTGTCAAGACTGTGTATTGACTGTGAGGAGATTAGGTGTGACTTATTTGAAGTATCCTGCCTGCCCATAGGTTTTCGTCAGTCCCTAGCATGTCACGATTAATTGGAGAAACTGGGACCAGTTTTTACAGCATCTTACAGATATATATGTGTAATTAGAGTAAACCCGATTTAGAAAGCCAAAGGATTGAGCGAAGAAATACTTACTATTCATTTAGATTCTCATCCCTACTCTAATATATATTGCGCATAGGAAAATCGCAAATGCAGAATACGTAATTATGTAAAAGGTGTAACATATTGTTAACAAGGTTGACTGAGATTAAGCACTGCTTCTTGATAAATACATATATTCGTTTAGAGTTGCTTGACTGCAATAGACTTAGAAAGCAAAAGTAGTGAGCGGAGAAATAGTTACTTTTCAATTGGATCGTCATATATATACATATATATAGCATTTTTATTACAATACACAACAATTTACTAATCGAGTGGCGATATGCTTGTTAACAACATTAGTCAGCATCACCAGATGAAACAGTGGCGTGATAATTAACGGAGAAAATTAACACACACAATTAAAAAGTGGGAATGGTTACAACAAGTGGATTGCACAGTGCATGATTGTGGAAAAATGAAGAGTAATGAAGGAATAAGCGAGTTCTTCAAATTGACTACGTAACAAATTGTTGAGGAAAAATAAAAGGATTTGGACAATGGTAACTCGCGATTAGAGATGGAGTAGTCAGAAAAATGATAAAATAATTTGGACAATTATAATTTTCAAAGGTTTATGGGGTGGGGGAGCGAAGTAGTCCGGTTAAGACACTCACTTAATGTTGGCCAAGGTAAGGCAAAGGGCTGTACAAATTTCTTTTGAACACAAGTTTGGCTTCTTCTGGTGCATTCCTATGGCTTCAGCTGTATGTAGAGGACGAACTCGTATAACAAAATTAAGATATGTAGGAATGCAATAAATAGTTTCAAATGTTGTATTAACATCAACTTTATGCTCACTATCTACAAGGTGTGCTACAATGGAGCTACGAATAGATCTTGTTTGTCCCTTGCTTAACTGCTATGTAGGATGATGTTCGGAAATACGATGATGAACCTGCCTAATTTTAGCTGGCTCTGCAGCTACAGTCGAACTGGTAGATGCACACAGAGGAGGCAAATTTAGGTAGTTTATCTTTTTTCCTCGAACGTAAAATAGGAGTGGTAGTGGAGAGATAACGTACCTAGTTATGTTGCATTGAAAGCTCTTCTAACTGCATTCTTCAGGCACTGTGTTACTATTTCGCTGATGTCACCGAGGAAGTGCAGTTTTATGAACGGTGGCTTTTTTGGAGTTGTTGTCACACTGACTCTCCTTGATGTTAAATACATATTCTTCTCAATGAACTAATCTGGGTAATCATTTCTACTAAGTATTTCTCTAATGATCTTAACCCCCTCATTGAGGGAGTCGTGTGAACAGCTTATCCTACCTCTATGAACCAGACACTTTACCAAGTTGCACTCAAAAAATGAGTGTACTGACCTGTTGTTGTAGGTTTCCTATACATACTCCTTTGTAGTGTGCCATCTTCTTTTCTGACCAGGAACACGTCTAGAAATGAGATACTGTCAATACTTACTGTCTCTATGGTGTAGTTTGTTGCTGAATGCGTATCATTAAACTCTTCGAGGATGTTCATTGCTTCATTCTCGTTTTCCTTAACCAGAAATGTAGGTTCATTCATTGAGGATACAGAAATGCCGATGTCTGTGCTTCGCTTAGTAATCTCATCATATATAGAATTCACTGTCTCCATCATCATTACGTTGGTGAGCTGGACAAGAAGGATGCATCAAAAGATATCGTAAACTTGTCATTCACACTAAGATCTCCTATTTTTTCGACAGATTCAAAACTACGTTTTACCAACTCGTTATGCAGAGGTTTCAATAGCTCCTCCAACCATTTTGCTTTTGCGTGATACGGGGAATTACACATGTCCAGCACTGGTCGGAGTGGCGAACCATTTTTATGCACTTTTGGTAATCTGTATAATCTTAGTGTGACCGTACCAGTAGGCTTTCGAGATCCACATAAATCTACTGTGATGTTACCTTGTTGTTCAAGTCTTTTTAGTGACTCAACTAATTGTTTCTCGACTTTTTCAGTGGGATCAATGGAAGATGAAATTTTTTGAGATTTTCGGTGATCACTGAGCATTTCATTCAACTTATTTTTTTTATTATAGCTTGATTCCACAGTGTATTTTTGGTACAAGTATGGAATTTTCAGCATGTGATATCGTTAGCCCAAATTTCTCAGGCCGACCAACTGATATCAGGTGTGCGTCGGTAGAGGATCGAACCCCGGACCATTTGCATGGTCGGCTGTGCCACTGACGCACATGATTAGTACTCCAGGCTTAGTAATTATTATATTCTCATTCTTTCGCAGCGTATCCAGGACTTCCCTGTGTTTCTTTGTTTTATAACCTATTTAGTTTCCGTTTGCTATTTAGATTTATATAACAGCAGTCGATGAGAGTTGACTTAAGACTTTCAACTGCTTCAGCTGACGAAAGTATCAAGCCTTCAGTTTGCGTATAAAGCGTTTCGAACTTGGCTAACAAACCCATCTTATTAATCCTAACATGGATATCACAAAACTTAGTGCCTGGGGATAATACTTACAAATCTACATCGTCAAGGACAACATAAGAAAAATTATAAACATACCGACCAGGATTTGGGGGAAATCTCTTTTCTGGGGTTTTGCTTTCCACGATATTTAATAACTTGATAATAATAATAATAGCAATAATACTAGTAATAGGAATTTAATAATAATTTTTCTGAATTGAAATCTTCGGAGCAACAGTTACAGCGAAGAAAATTTTCTTTTCGATGAAGTCATCAACTAGGCTGTACATTGGTGTATTTATATTGACGTGTGTGAGAAAGTTCCAGAATTATTTCCGGTCAAAGGTTAAATTAGAAAATTAAAATGTGTAATAATCACGAAGATCGGGTAGAAAAGACATAATAAGATTATATATAATTGTAACAACAGAAGGCAAGGGTCAGGCAACAGATCATTTATTAAGGAAATCAACGCATATTTATATATTTTCATGTACATTATTATGGATATTTAAGCAAACAAACACAGTCTTCCGATTGGTTGTTTCTCACGTAAAGTTAATCTTTCATCTATT